TGCAGACGTCGCCACCAGCTAATCACAGTGCCGTCTCATCACCTGGGAAGAAACCTGACCTCAGCCCTCTGCATCCCGCCGCCCCCAGCTCCTCAGCTCTCTGATACTGCAGCAGCCTGCACAGACTGTCACCTCCTCGCTGTCTGCCTGCCGGGGATTTTTCTACATTCCTCAAAAGCCAGCCCTTCAGAGTCGCTTCCGCCCTCCCCACCTCCCCAGACACCACATCCCACCTCAAGGAGGGTTAGTCACGCCATGTTCCATGACCTCCAATGCAAGATGTCTCTGCTGTTTGGCATGCCCCTTAGGAAAGGAAGGAAGGGAGGGAGGGAGGGAGGGAGAAGTAAAATTCTCTATCAACGTGCTTCTCTTTCTTATCATACCGGGATTCCTTAGTCAGGGATCACAGCTCCCCTGTGGGACCATCTGTGCATGCCTGTGTTTCTGGGGACAGAGTTCACAGATTTCGTCAGATTTTCTAAAGGATCTAGGGGAGGATCAGGAGCCACCGCATCCAGCGGAGCATCTCAAAGGGCAGAAATGAGCTCGGTTGGTCCCTCTGTCCTCAGGCCTCCTGCAGACTGGAGGGTTTGAGACAAACGTGAGGAGGAATGAATAACATTGAGGAAAGTCTCTTTCCTTTGAGGCTTTTCCATGATCAGTCTCTGTGAAGCAGTAAAAGGGCAAAACAAAATAACACGGATGAGCGTGGAGGAGGGGTGGGTGGGAAGGGCACACCCATCTTGGTCAGCAGTTTATTTTGTGCACCTGCCAGGCCCCAGCCTTGAGGCCCAGTATCTAGAGCTACGAGGAACGAGCAGCTCCGTGAGTGCATCAGAACAGGCTTCCTGGGGAAGAGGGGACAGGGTGTGTGGAAGTCAGCAAGGACCAGGATTCAGCCTGGGAAGTGGGCTCGAGGGTGTGGGCTGAGGGTGGCACCGATGTGAGCAGATGCCATCCTGGCCCAGGCCCAGAAGACGGAGGACATTCATACCCAACCATTTCTGCAGCCCAGAGAGGACTTTCCAAGCCTCTGGGATGGCAGACAAGCTAGGCTGGGCCTGTCCACCAGGAGGTGTGGCGTGGGTGAGTGCTGACCCTGAGCCCGCAGAGTGCTGAGCAGAAGGAGGATCTCATTAGCCCTGGAGAGGAAGGACGCGCCTGCTCCCCAGAGGCTGGAGGACATGAGCCTGGCCAGGCACGAAAGCTGACCCCATGGCCCCAAGCCAGTGATGGAGCCACCTGAGAGGCCGTGGCACTGAAGGAGAGGGGAGGGGAGGCCTGACTCCACCTGTTGCCTGGGCTCCTAGCCCTGAAGATGGAGCACACCAGCCAGAAACAGATGGAAATTTCCCTCGAGAAAGGGAAGGCCATGCTGTGGTGGTCAGGGGCTACTGCTGTCAGCAGGGGAAGGAACACGGCCATCTGGTGGCTGCCAGGACTCCAGCCAGGGCAGACCTGGGGTGTTCAGGAGGGACCTAAGCCCCGGCTGGCCCTCCTCTCCCTCCTCTCTGTCCCTCTCCCTGGTGCTGAGTCCCTTCTCCTGAAGCCCAACCCCCCTTGTCCCCCACTCCCCACATCTAGGGCCAGGTCTGAGCAGATGGCTCTAAATAAAACTGCATGGTTTGGGGCAGGGATTTTGTACCTAGATCAGCATTTGGCCTTAACTGACAAGGATCATCAGAAGCCCCCTCCCATGGACCATTTGGGAAATAGACGGAGGATCAAGTAGGCAGAAAGTCCCCCCTTACAGTTGCTAAAGGGGAGAATGAGGTCTCAAGCCAAGACCTGGGCCCAGACTTGAGCCCCGTGAAGTGAACTTAGCCACCAAGTACAGAGCAGAGGAGTGGGACAGGCCTGCATGTTCCCCTCACCTCAGAGCTGCTCAGGGCATCCGTGAGCCAGGCAGCTCATGGAGAAGGGGATAAACCAGGCTCAGTGACACCCACCTGTAGTCCCAGCCACTGAGGATGCTGAGGCAGGAGAACTGCAAGTCCCAGGGCAGCCTGGACAACCTAGTGAGACCCCCATCTCAAACTAAAATGTAAACAGGGCTGGTGGTGTTGCTCAGTGGTATAGCACATGCCCAGCATGCATGAGGCCCTGGGATCAGTCCCCAGTTCTGCAAAAGTACAGAAAGAAAGAGGTGAGGGAGATACAGAGCTGAGCACCATTCACCCACCGGTCTCCCGAGATCACCTGCACCCTCCTCACTGGACAGAGACTGAGAGAGGTAGAAGGAGGGGCAGTAGTGTCATGTGGTTTCCTCCTTCTCTTAGTGAAAAATCCAAACCCTGCACCACGGGCCACAGATGTCGCAATCTGGCTTCCATGTGGCCCTGCACATCTTCCTTCTCGCTCCCCTGAGCTCACCCCTATGCTTGTCAGCAGGGCCTCGGGACTTGAAGTTCTAAAAATGCCTCACCCTCATGCTAAACGTGAGTGAGTCCTGTCATTCATACTTCATTCCTATTTGCTGTCTTGGGGAGACCTCCTATCTCAGATCGCCCATCCAGCTCTGGCATCAGACTTGATCTGTGTGCTTGTCCCTGCTCTCTGATCTGACCTCCCCTCCCCATTGCAATGGAAGATCCAGGCTCCAGAGAACAGGAACGATGTCCATTTGGATTACTGGTGGATCTGATACCCACCGAGGGCAAGGCACAGGCACATGCAGGTGTGCACTGAATATTTATTAATGGCAAATGAAGACTTATGAATGAATGCTTCACACAAGGTAGAATTCTAGCAGAGGTAAAAAGAAAGTTAACTGGTGCAGAAGTTCTCAGCCAGGACCCATACCATTGCTGAAACCCACACACTACCTCCCTTGCTTACGGACAGCCGTAGGCTACTTTCTTGGTCCGCATGGCTCACCTCTGTGACGCAAACCAAGTGTCCAATGATCTCATTCCCCGAGTCATTAATCTAGCAAGTCTGGCTCATGGTACAGTATAAGTCATTGATACTGCAGTCTGAATTCCAAGTTAGTTCTTTCTCCAGATGTTTATTAATATTTGTTCATCTTGAGGGGATTTCAACCAAGGGGAGAGAGGTACGTTTTGAGCAGAAGTATCTTCCTGTGTCCATATCTCATGCTCATAGGAAGCAAAGGGTAAATTTGGGTCCAGTTCTGTGACAATGGAAGAGTCATGGAATTTTTAAGCATTCCAGAATCTTCTCAGAGCCCCACAGTGTGGTCCTAACTCTGACACTTTCTTCCTGTGTTTCCTTGAGCAAAACTCTTTCCTTCCTGGGGCCATCTGCAAAACCAGGGGGCCCAGTTTCATGACATAGAAAGTCCTTCCCAGTTTTGAATACAGTAACTCCAGGAGAGACCTTGTTTTCTACTGAAGCTTGCTCTGATTTTATTGTTATTTGTTTTTGGAGACTGGTTCTCACCAGGTTGCAGAGGCTGGCCCTGAACTCCCTGTCCTCCCTCTCAGCCTCGCTGAAGAAGTAGTGGGATGGCAGGTGTGCCTTTGCACCTGGCTCTGGCTCTGGCCTTTTGTGATAACATTGAGGACTTCATTTTTTCTCTCCTTAAACCAACCAACCCTCCAATTCTCTGACACAGATTCTGACCCACAACTCAGCTCAGTCCTGATACTAATCGTCCAGAGTAGCACACACTTACAAGTGAAGGCTCAGTCCCACGAGACTCCCCCCATTTCTGACACCAGCTGCGAGTCTCAGAGCACCTGTTCTTCTCATGGAATGGCTTGGATTAGAGCTGCCCACTACCCCTCTTCAGATTCAATAATTTGCTGGAATGGCTCACAGGACTCAGGGATATGCTCAAGTGGAGCGGTTGCTTTTCCAGGATACAACTCAGGAACCACCAAGCAGAGGAAATGCACAGGGCTAGCTAAGAATAGGGTAAGCGGAGGGATGGGGTGTCCATAGCATCCCAGCACCTCCCTGTGCCCACCAGCAGGGAAGCTCTCCGGTCCTGCCTTTCAGGGGTTTTGCAGAGGTTTTGTTATACCCAGGCATGATTGACTGTGTCTCCGGTCTTTAGCAAGTAAGTTAATCTCTATCTGCTCTCCTCTCTGAAGCTGAAAGTTCCAGGCTTCTCACAAAGTCTTGATCTTTCTGATGACCAGCCCCATCCTGAAACTACCAGGGGCCCACCAGAGGTCATCTCCTCAGAACAAACAGTACTCTGGCATCTCCTTATCACCCAGGACATCCCAAGGGTCTTAAGAGCTCTTGTCAGAACCCAGAGACCAAATATCTTTCTGTGTTACAGTCAGAATCGCAGCCTGGGTGCAGGTGGAATCCCTCCAACCCCTTCCCACCACTCAGCTTCTGCTATGGAAAGAGGGTGTCCACTATCCACCATGCATCCCAGGGCCTGTGAGCTGCCCAGGCCCAGTGCTTGGCTGGGAAGCTCAGGGCCTGCTGCAGCCTGGTAGCTTGGCTGAGGGGTGAGGCGAGGATACCACCCTGCTGCCTGGAGGGGAGGGATGTACCAGTTAGGCCTACAATGCTGTGTCTGTACTGAACCAGCAGGGCTCCTTTTCCTGTCATTATTCCTCAGACAAGTCAAGGTGACATGTAATTCCTGTGCCATTTTACGAGAAACTTGAGCATCACGGATTTTGGTAACTGGAACAAAGGTCCCTCAGATACCCAGGGATGATTGTGCTTCTTCAATGGAGCAGATGTTGGTTAGACAGTGGGAGGCACTTCCTAGCTCTGGGCACAGTAGGATGCTGGAACGCATTATGCCACAATCTGGTTGCAGTGTCCCCAAAGTCCATTTGTTAAAAGCTTTTCCCCAGAGTGACTATCAGGAGTTGGAAATTTTAGGAGGGGGCTCCTATTAAGATGTTTTAGATCCTTGGAGGCATGACTTGAGAGGGTTGGTGGAACCCCTCCTTCCTCTCGGTCACTCCCCAGAGCAGCTCCACCATATGCCCCCACCATGAGGTGCTACCTGGGCCCAAAGCAATGCAGCCAACCGATCACAGACTGAAACCTGTAAAACCGAGAGCGAAAATAAACCTTTCCTCTTTATAAATTGGTGATCTCAGGTGTTTGGGTTTTGTAACATCTGAAAAGACATTTAATTACTATTATTAATATTATTATTATTTATCATTACATTAGTGATTACACCAGGTTGCATTTTCTCAAATGGCAAATGAGACACAGGATAACATTTCTCTTTGATTCTCCCATGAATCTCAGTATCATCCGTCTTTTGAAGGATTCTGCTTCTTAACGAGGTTGGTGATACCTTGAAAAGAAGAATGCATTGTCCATGAAGATACCAACAATGCTCAGTAGTAAAGAACATTTTGCTAAGTTCTTCTGTCCCGGGGCCTTGCTCCAGGTGTTCACCTTTTTCTTCTAATCTGGTGGTCAGCACTGGTCACATGTTTCTTCACTACTGTGCACAGGGTCCAGTTGGGGGATAGGTTGTGTGTGTTTCCTATGGGATGTCCACAGAGACATCCCATAGGATATTGTCCTGCCTTCAGAAGCCAAAGTGAGCTCTACTTTTCGATTATAGTCACCTGGAAGAAAAGAATATGTAGATTGATGACAAATGCTCCATTTTGGACTAGAAATAAATGCTTCAAGATAGTTCTCTTTAGTATCACCCATCTTGATGCTCCACCACACTGTTCTCATTACCAGGTGACATGGGGAAAGATGTTTTGCAGAGCAACTGCCCTTAGTCTGCTTCTAGGCACAGCAATTTTTATTCCTGCACAAGACCACCACGTTGCCTCCATCCGGGTCTTTGCTGCAGCATGAAAAGCTCACCAACACCTGTATACAGAAGCCAGAAAGGCTCTACCCCAGAGGCCTTTGGAAGATCCAGTTGCTTCTGGGTGGCTCGGTCCCCACTTCAATCTCAACTCACAGATTTTATTGAGTTAAGTCACCATGGTGACTGGATCTGCTTTCTCCAAAGTCCTTGCAGCCACGGGTGTGGGAAATCTGTAAGTGGGGTTGTGATGCATCATTGCTCTGCCCCCGAAAGGCTCTTCTATGTGTGTGCAGTGGACTGTGACTCCTCAGGCCTGGCTGAAGAGGAGGTCCCTGATGGAATCAGGTGCTGAGTGTTGAGTTTGGCTGGCAAGTTCCCATTCATCTTTCAAGGCCTGACTCAAAACATCTCCTCTCCTGAAGAGCCTTGCCTGACCCTCAACCCCCAACCACTCTTCTTTCCCAGGTTCAGTGAGGTGTCTCCTCTATAAGCTGGGGTGACTGCCATTGGCCTATCCCCCTGTTTTCCATGGTCTCCAGGGGACTGAGTTTCCTGAGGGCTGGACCCTTGCCCCTCTCTTCTCTCTCTGAATCCCTGGCACTAACACTGGGCAGGTGTGGGTGGAGCAGGGGCTCAGTGGATGCTGGGACTGACGGGGTGCTCATAATCATAGCCATCAGGTGCCCCGGGGACTGGCAGTGTCAGAGGTCCTCATGAGAAGCCCGGGTCTCTGGCCTGCAGCCTTCCTCAGCCTCCTTTTACCTGGTAGCCTCGATTCCTCCACAACTGCAGCAACTCCCCCTTTCCTGTTGCACAGCAGGCTCAATGCAATGCTGATCTGCATAGCACCCTCCATCCGGAACAGCCCTGAGCTGTGGGTGCGAATACTAATGCACCCTGCAAATGCCATCCCAGAGGAAGAGCCCTGGGCTGTCAATGAGCTCCCTGCACCAGCCAGCACACCAACCCCCTTGCTCGCTCGGGGCCAGCCCAAGGCAGCAAGGGACAACAGAAACCAAAGTCAGCTTGAAGAGCCACTATTGTCAAGACAGTGGCTGGTGGCAGCCTGGGAAGGGAACTCCACAGAGCGAGGGAGGAGAGAAGCAGCCCAACCTCCATGGTCTCCCCCAGGCAGTCTGGGAAGAGGGACAGTGTTCAGGGACCTGGGAACAACTACGGTCATCAGAGTCTCTGTCTGGCCACCTCTGGGTTCTGTAATGTCTTCTAAGCCAGGACAAAGGCTCTTCATAGCCACTCTTCCCTGACCTGGTGGCAGCCCTGGGAGGGAGGGTGAGTGGGTGTCCCCACCCCTACCTCTTCTTCCTTCCCTGCCCCCTCCTGTTTCCCTTTCTGAGTGGGTAAGAGGTTGACCTTGAAGGACAGGCAGAGCTGGCTTCGAACCCTGGCTCTGCAGATCAGGCCCAGGGCAAATTCTATCACCTCTCTGAGCCTCTGTCTGCTAATCCTCAAAACGGAGAAAAGAGCAGTCCCTGCCATGGAGCCACACGAGGATCATTTTATGAGTAGCTAAGAGTTTCACTCAACGTGCTCTGATATGCCAAAAATGCTACTTTGCTTATTTCTTAAATGGCTGAACTTTGATTTCTATTCCAAGTTCTCATGTCTCTCAGTGGCAGAGCAATTACAATCAGCTCGGGACGCCCCTTCCCCAGCAGGCCTGAACATTTGGGGCTGGGTTTATGGAGGATCCATCAGGAGGCAGGTTCCACTTGTGGGCAGCCTCCCAGACCCCTGAAGGCAGGCGGCCTCCAGGTGCCCCAGCTCCTGTGCAGGGCATGATAATCCTGCTCCTGGGTCTCTGCTGGGCCTCCCAATGCTGGCTGGCTCTCGGGGGGTTTTCCGGGCCAGCCCCTCTTGGTTGCAAGGGAAAGATTCTTCTTGCCAAACTCACCCAGAAGAGACATGTCAGCCCATTAAAGCGACATGGGCCTGTGGCTGTGCGATGCTCTTGCTGCAGAGAGGGCTGGTGGGTGGTGCGGGCACGTGGCAGATCCCCTCCCCGAGGGGTCTGCTGTCCTGGGCTCCTGGCTTCCAGGGATGAATGGAACACCTTCCCCCAGGCTTCACCTGAGGTGGACCAAGGACACAATCTCTGTCCTGCCTACAGCCAATGGGTCCGTCTTGTTCCCGGTTCTTAGCTCATGTGAGACCTTGCAAGTGAAAATCTAAGAGAGCAAACGGTGTCATCCCTGCCTGGGCAGTGAACGCCACAGGTCTCAAGTGTGGGGCAGGGATGTGGTCACGGGAAATAAGACACCTCTGGGCATGCCTTCTGGTTTTACATTTCCTTACTTCTGCAGACCCTGCCCCGTGGTCAGCCCTCACCACAAGGGCAGCCACAACTCTTTCCCCCTCCACCTTCCTCTGGGGCTTTTGCCCTCTTTGGGAGGCAGTGGCTGACGGGGTGGAGCGCCAGGGCTGCGCTCACCCACCTGTGGCTGGCGCGTTACTAATATCAGAGGCCCAGGTTGCTGTGGCCTCCCCCCTCCCTGCTCTCTTCCCCCTTCCAAGGTGTTTGGTCTGCAGAAGGCATGAGGGAGAGCAGATCCTGTGTGCACCCAGCAGGCTGCTGAGCATGAGCCCCCGAGCAACAAGACCGTGTGTGAGTGCAGCAGCTGTCGCTCAGAGGGTGCCAGGCTCTATGCACCTCCCCTGGGCATCTGTCGCTTGGCTTTGAGAAGAGGCACCACACCTGTGAGTCCCCAGTGACTTCCTTCCTTCCTAGAGAAACTGCTAGAAGAGATCGGTTGCAAGAGCAGCATGGGGGCTTAGAACTGGACAGGGAGGGTGAGCTCTGAATCCGACCAACTGAGTTCAAGGCCAGCTCTACCCCCTTACTTGCTGTGTGACTTTGGGCAGGGTGCTTAATAACTCTGTGCCTTAGTGGCCTCATTTGCAACATGGGGGTTAATAAGAGTACCTACCATATGGGGGTGGGGCTATTGAAATGATGAAGTGATGAAGTGAGACCAGGCACGTGATTGGCACAGTAAGAACTGCAGAAAGCGTTGCTACCATGGTTAACGTAATCGTTATATAACAGGAGGAGAGGGAAGCTGGCATCTACCTAAGCAGACAGTGGAGCCATGTACATGCACTTCAGAAAGACAAGAGAGTCTAACCCAGCGCCTGTCCCCATTGCTTTGGAGTCCCACACAACTATGGCTCAGGAGCTGAGCACCCATGGCCAGCCTCACTCTCCTCATTCCTGCCTAGATCCCTGACCTCCCTTCCTCCCCTCCAGCCTTCTCCGTTCCCACCCAGCTCCTTTCTTGATTTCTCCACCTAACCGTTGCCTTCCTAAACTGACCCACACCCCTGACCTAATGAGCCTTGACTTTGTGTTCTTCCTAGGACTTTGGGTGGGGCTGGCCAGAGTCAGGCTGTTTTCCCTGGTGACCCAGCAAGAGACGTAATTCTGAGAGCTTTTTGGTAAAGTCTGGGATAGCCCAGGGAGTTCTTTAGCCTCCTCTGATCCCCCATACTGTGAGTTCCCCCAGGCAGTAAGCATGTATCTCCGCAACCCCAGAGACCAGCTCCAGATGTGATAGAGGAGACTCTCACCCAACGCCCTCACCAAGGTGTGACCAAATGAATGGAGGAATGAGGGTCAACATCAGTGTTAGAGATGATCTCAGCTTTACCTGAGCCTGGCCACCTGCTGGGCAGGACACGGAACCACTTACGTGCCCCTTCTCAATTATGCCTCTGAATCACCATGCCTGTTCTACAGACGTTGAAACTGAGGCCCAGAGAGCTCAGACTGAAGGCATCAAATCCCTTCCTATCTTCTTTCCTCCTTTGGATGAGAACTAGGAGCCCATCATGTCCCATGCATATGACAGTCACCAACCCCATAAAATATGTGTGGCTCATGCATTCTAGGATGGAAAGGGTCCACCAGGGTCTTCAAATGTTTGTCTGGCACATTTGAATCCACATACTTGTCTCCCCTCCCCTTTCCATTCACCCTCTGCCCAGCCCCACAGAACCTCAGGATCAATATTCATGAAGCCTCTGCCTTGTTCCTAGTCTAGGGCTGGCACCCATCACTGGTCTCCAGGAATATCCTCCCCCCTCCCTAACCCTCCCCGCACACACTTCCAGCAGGAGCTGGGTAACTCCGAGGGCTTTGCTGCCTGCCAGTGTGGCTGCGTGGGTGGCTGCACTCTGTCTGAACTCATCCCAGTCCCCGGTGGAGACTGTTCCAGTGCTGGAGTGTGAAGGGGATCCCCTGGGGCAGGGCAGCCGTCAGGACGCACGGGGCAAAGCCTGGGCCCTGGCCGCCCGGCTCCCCTGCAGCCCACATTAGAGCTGCTCCTCAAACAACATGATCAGCCTCGACAGATGAGGCCAGGCTGGCCGCCTGAGGACACGGCCAGGAGAGGCACTTCCAAACCTCAACCCTATCCTCAGGTCTCTCCTTCCCTCTGGAGAGATGGGGAGCAAAGGGTATCAGCAGGGGAGACAGCCATGGAACCAGTGTCCTCTGAGCCAGGACTGCGCTGCAGCCAGGGAGATCCCATGCCAGGTGCCCTCTTTGTCACCACAGTCATTTTTAGTCTCACCCTGGGTCTGACCCCTGCGTTGCTGAGGCTTTGTTCTGTTGGCAAGCATGGGAAATCGAGGCTCTCAAAGGTCAAATAACTTGCTCAAGGTCACATAGCAAACCCAGAACGTGGGGTCTGATTTCCCTGACTTGAAAGTGGCACCTCCTGCCCCGACCTCTCCAGCTCCAAGGCACTGCAGCATCTCTTCATGTGCACGGGGTTCTCCGACCTGGCTTCTTGGAGCACCTGTGACAGCGGATTCATTGCCCCCCCCCACTTTCCTTCCCAGCACAAACTTAGCTGCTAACAATGAGTTGACCTGATGGTCCGAAGCCCTCGATGGCCAGCTCACCCATCTGCTCAGGAGAGTGCCCGGCATGGAGATGATGCTCAACAAGCATCTGTAGAATGAAACGCTAAACGACCCCAATGCAGATGATGACAGCAGAGATTCGCAGAGACAGAGCCCTCTCCCTTGACTTGCCCTTACCCAGTTCTCACACCAGCCCCAGGGAGTGGTTGTGCCATGTGTCACAGATGGGAAGCTGGGACCCACGGACACGTTACTAAGAGAAGAGAGGCTTGAACCCCGAGCTCATTGGTGACGCCGTTCCCCTGGCCTGAGTGATCCCAGTTGGGGCATTTGTGGAACACCTAGGACTTTTGGCCCAGGCCGAGCTGTGGTGGGCGGGGGTGGCTGGGCGTTCACGGAGCAGGGGAGACTCGGCCCTGCTTTCTGAGGCTGCAGTCTATTTGAGGAGGCCAGAGTTATGCATGCAGAACGTTTGGGAAGTGGTTCAAGACAGCAGCGAGCACAGTGCTGAATCGCACAGAATTAGGTGCCAACCACATTCCCTTCCCGAACTAATCTGAGTCTTTTAATACCAGATGGGGACCCTGAGAATAGATTTCCTATCAAACAGATGAAGAGCAGAGATGGAGGCACGGGAGGGCTGTGGCTGACTGTTTTTACATCTCTCTAGTACAGCATGACGCCTGGCCACAGCAACAGGAGTAGTAGCCCCTTACCCCGCCGCCCCAGCAGAAGGCCACTCTACCTGCTCATACCATGGACCTTATGGTCATCATCTCCAGACCCCTCGCAGCAGCATGAGCAGGTGGCTATTGACACAGTCCACAAGGAGATGAAAGAAAAGCTCAGAGAAAGCATTCATCAGGCCCAGCATCACACAGCAAAGGAGCAGGATCCAGGCTTGAATTCCCTTCCAGTAGCCTGCCGAATCCAGACCCCATCTGACACCATGCTACTTCTGTTTGTGGTGGGACTGAGGTGCCATTGTCCACAAGGATGGGAAGAAACCTGGCCAAGGGAACATCAATAGGAAGGAAGGAGAGGAGGAAGAGGAGGGGAAGGAGGGCATGGGGAAATGGATGGGGGGGGTAGGGAGGGAGGGAGGGAGGGAGGGAGGAGAGAATGGTGGGAAAGGGTGGCTGGCACATTGCGAACACACAGACAAGCTCCGGCATGTTTTACCAGGACCCCTGCAGTCCCCTGAGGGTCTCGGCCCCTCCTCCCTGAATGGCCTCAGGGGAGGCCTATATGGGTCTACTCGGAGGCTCGTGTCACAGGGAAGGCCTCACTTCAGAGTCTTCTGGGGGCATAGCTGGGTCTTGGAGGGGTGTGTTCATCTGCTGGTGCTGCCTGGACAAAATACCAGAGTCAGACGCAGGCTCTCTCCCCATGATCCTGGAGAGCAGAAGTCCAGGATCCAGGTGCGGCAAGGCTGCTGTCTGCGTGGGCTCCCCTCTGGGCCTCCAATGGCCCCCACCTTCCATGTCCTCACAGGACCTGTCCTTGGTGCATGCAGGGGTGGGTGGCTCTGGCATCTCTTCTTGGAAGAACCCACAGCCCCACCCTGATGGCCTCATTTGAGCTGAATGACTCCCTTAGAGGCTGTGTCTCTAAATGCAGCTGCACGGGGGCTGGGGCTTCAACCCAACGGATGTTGTGGGGACATAGTCCACACCAGAGTGGGTGAGGGAGGTGGGGCATGAGCTAGCTGGCCTTCCAGAGTAAGGGGTCCATGGCCACTGCCGCTCCGGTAGGATGATGGTGGCAAGGTCACTTTAGCCTATACACCATGTCAGGGATAGCCCGACGTGGGGTTCTGCAGCCAGAGTGACTGGCAGAAATGCCCCCAGCACTCGCCTCTGGGGCTCCCTTTCTCCCCGACAGTTCTCTGCTCTCTATTGCAAGTTCCTCAGAGGCAGAGATCGGGTCTTCCATCACCTGGATCCCCTCTCATTCCTCACACCCTTCCCCATGTATTCCTGCTTAGATGCATACTTGGTGAGCACCTCCTTTGTGAGCAGGTGGTGTGTATGGTGCACGTGTGTGTCTGTCCATCCACAGGTAATACCTACATCCTAGGGCACCGTCAGGACTACATGAGCTATGGTGCATGCAAACGTCTGCTCAATGATAAATGTTCCAGAAACCTTTGTTAATGAATGAATGCATTGATCTTCACGAGGGGGATGTGTTTCTCCCTCTAAGGGGCAGGGGTGATCTGGTCATCACCGATTTTCATTTACTAAGCGGGTCACTGAGCAAAAAAGCTGGTTCATTTATTCACCAGCAGAGACTGACCACAGTCCCCTAGAAACCAGGGGTTGAGCAGGCAGTACGGAGCTAGACCTGCACTGCTTTGCCTTCCAGGGACTCAGTCCCCAGCCAGGGAGAGAAAGGACAATGAGAAGCAGGGTGATGACAGCTCTGCAGGGAAACAAACCCTCCAGTGCCACGAGGACCCCTACAGGACACTGCCTCGCAGCCAGGAGGATCTCCTGGAGGGGATGACACTTGGAGACCTTCAAGGATGAGCAGCAACAGGTCGCCAGGTGGCAGAAGGGACCAGGGATGCTTTGCGTCAGGGTAATGGGCTGTGCAAGGGCCCTGCAGAAGACCCACGAGGGCACATCTGGGGAACAGTGAGAGGTGAGTGGAGCTGGTCCTGCTGGGAGTGCCGGAGCCCAGGGGGCTTGACAGAAGCCAGGCCACAGAAGCCCAGCAGTGTGGCCTTCACACTGGTGACTTCACTTCATTCCCAGTGCTCAGAGGCAGAGACTGTGAAAAGCTCCAGAGGCACTTTGCCATGTCTGATCAGTAAAATGGAGTAATTTGTCAGTCTTCTGCCTCTTCAGGGACTGGAGAGGAGAGGAGAGAAGGGCATCCTGGCCATGCGTCACCACCCAAGTGTGTCCTGCACACAGGCGTTCAGGTTGCCTGAAGATGAGCAGAGGCCCAGGTGGGGGCAGCTTGGTGCTTCTCCAATGATGTCCTGAGAGGTTGCCAAAGACCCCCCAGGGGACAGCATCCTTTCAGCTAAGAGCCCTCCTCTGTTCCCTGAGCCCTGGCCATGCTGATGGGTCCTCAGGAGACCCCCGGCTTCAGCCCCACCCCACTCTTCTTCCTAGCAGGGATTGGAGGAGGGAGGCCAGAGAGCGGCAGGGCCAGCTCCTGTGTCCTGCTCCTTTCCAGGATCCCAGGGCTCTGATGCATAGATGGCCCTAAACTGGCAGGTAGGAGAGTGAGGGTTTTGCATTTGGTGGGACCCAGAGCAGGTGTCTCCAGCTCATTGGCCCTGCAGTGCCCTCGTCTGCCAACAGGAGGGTCCACAGGAGGCTGCAACAGAGCCTGAACTCTGAGTTCTAATCCCACACTCTGACTGGGCAGCTTGGGTAAATGTCTTACCCTCCACACACTTCTACTTTCCTCCATGGAGATAACAAGGCCTCACCTGGCTGACTCGGCAGGCTTGGATGGGCATCACTGGGTGATGTGGTCTCAACAGTGGTGGACATCCCAAAGGAAAGGCGTACTATTGAGGCACACAGTAGGACTCCTGCTGGCATTGGAGAAAACATAAGCACTGTAGGTGAAGAACACTACAATTGCCCCAGGGGGTAAGTCACAAACTATCTGCAGCCTTGAAGGGGCAGCTCCCAGGGGACCTATGCCTGTGTGACTGAATGCAGGGGCGCTATTTTGTACTGTGTGCATCTGCACGCTGTGTGGGTCTTGGGTGAGGTCTTAGAGATGCATTATGGACTTGGTCTGTGTGCATAGCAGCAATGTCTGTGGGCTTCAGGGACCTGTGCCCATATGTTTGTGGGACTAAGTGTGCATGTTTATGAGGCCCTATGCTGGGGAACTTGGTGAACTGCAAACATGGTGCATATTTGTGCGGCTGAGAGAAAATGACCAGGGAGGGGTCCAGGAACAGCCTGGGAGACCAAGGATTCTTGTGCCAATCCAAAAGGGTCTTAGTGGGAACCCTGCTGCTCAGAGGTGGGGAAGAGGAGCGCCTCATCCTCACTCCTGTGCACCCAGACGTTGCCCTTTCAGAAAAAAAAAAAAAAAATGGAGATGGAACTTGGAGGTTCTTGAAATCTGAAATAAGGGCTTACAGCAGGTAGAGATGGCACACAGGCTCAAGCCCTGCCCCATAGCTGATGGCTGCTAAATTCTTGCGCCCACCAGCGAGAATAAGGCAAACCATGAAGGAGGGAGAGAGGAAGGGGAGACACAGAAGAAAACAGAAAGGAAAGGCCCCCCCCCAGCTCCTCTTCCCTCCCCAATTTCCAGTCTTTCATCTTTCGCAGGTGGCCCTGGCCTTAGAGGGTTCTGCCAGCCCCACAAGCCCCCACAGAGCCGGAGAGCGCCCTCTTTGCAGGACCACCCAGTTGGATGTGCGCTTTTCACCCTCCCCGGGCAAGCAAGGCAGGCTGTTCCCCACCCCAGGAATCCAAGCAGTGGGCTACATATGATCTCCCCTGAAGTCAAACGAAATCAAAACGCAGCACACACAGGGACACACACGCACACGCATGCACACGCACAAGCGTACGTTCTCCCTGGGGGGCAATCTGCTGCCCCCTGAACCCCACCCATCAGCCTGTGCCTAGCCCCGGGTGCGTCTGCACCCGTCAACCAGGCGCTCTCCCTGGTGTCCCGCGCACGCCCGGGCGTCTGGGGCGCGCAGGTGCGGGCAGCA